ACCAATTGAACTTTGCTAGACCAACAAGAATAATGCAAATTATACATAAAGAGTTACATAATAGTTTACATGCAATCAGGGCAGACCCAAACTTTTTATTTTGTGGAGTCAAAAAATTGAATATTATTTTTTCAAAAAAAAAAACATAATATTAATGAAAATAATTCAATACACTACTACAATTGTAGCCTACACATTTTGATAATTGAAAATATCGTATAATTACATCATTATTAATAGTATCAAATGGATTTTGCTACTTGTATAATATCGTTTAAACATTGTTGATAGATGCTGAATTGGCGATGAGTAAATAAATTGAATGTAGGAATTAATGAATTGAAATAAAGTTCAAATTTAATCCAAGAAGTATATAAAATTCAAATTTAATGCAAATGTAATTCGAAAATAATTCAAATTACATTTAGTATGTAATGATCCTAAAATTTTTGACATCATATTCCATCTAAAATTTTCTAATAAAATGTATAAATTATATTGAGAAATTTGTCATGCAAAAACAATAAACGTTAATTAAATAATTGAATTTTTTTTAAAGAAAAAAAGAATTAGACTCTTCTTTTTGAGACGTACGTTTGGTGCATGTTTAATTATTTTCGATATTCGATATGACAACGATGTAATTTTTGAAAAGAGCTTTTAGATAACGGAGGCGATTTGTGGATTTGGCTATCGTATGTTCGTCGATGAAATTTTAAAGTTAGCATATTATCTAAATTCTTGAAATATTAGTTTAGAACGATTTACTGTGATGCATCATAGTTTTGCTGTGGTTAATCGTTTCGCGAGTCACTAATAAGCGAAAAACTAAATAGTGAGCACTTCGAAAGTGATGTTAAGAATTCAATGTTTTGATTTCATTTTACATCATGTAAAAATAACAATAGATTTTCTATTAAAAAATAAATAAATAATTGTGGGGTCACTTGACCCCACCTGACCCTGTGGGTCCACCTATGCATGCAGATGAGATGTTGAAAAAAGAGAATGAGATTTTTTTTTTAAATTTATTTAGTTGAAAAAATTCTAAACTAATTATATTTCACTACATCATGTTTATATAAATTACTATGTAAACTATTATGTATATGTAGCGTGATCGGACCAACAAACCCACCCCTTAAGCATGTTAGTGTCAACAATTTTAACTTTTCTCTTCTTGCTTAGGCCACGTTTGGGAGGAATTTTGAGAATTGATTTTTTTACCGTTAGAAAAAAAGTGGGGTCCACCTATGAGAGAAGAAGTCAAAAATTACGGTTGGAATAGTGAAATAACGGTCAAAAAATCAATTTTTTTGAATAAAAAATCCCTTCCAAACAGGCTGTTAATATTATTGGAAGCTATCAAATCCTCCAACTAATAATTTCATTAAATCATTAGCTCGCCATGAGGAGCATTTAAAGGTTCTAAAGGAAACTAGGGTTCAAACTTTTACAAGCTTATCTAAATATTTAATTTGCATAATTTTGATTAATTGAATAAATCTTGTCTTAATATCGTGTACATATTGCTTTAATAGGTGAAAATCTCGATTTGGAGGTGAAACGCCTGTGAAGGAAGTGAATTTGAACTTAATTGGAGCCTTAGGACTTGGTTGAAAGGATTTATTTATTTATTTTCCCCCCATGTTGATTAGTTTTGGGTGACGTTATTTATGAGGGGTTGAAAAAAACTACGCCACCCAAAATCAGTATCGTGCAATTTATGAGGGGTTGAAAAAAAACTCCGTAGTAATTTTATGAAGAATGAGTGGTTAAAAAGTGGAAAAAATTTTAGATTTACGTATAAAATATTTTATTGTTTGAATGTGCGATTGAAAATGAGTTTGAAAAAAAAAATTTGAAAAAATAAATGACAAACAGGGATGCAAGTATATAATTGATTGATCTTGAGAAACGCTATAGATTATAGCAAGATCATTGATTTTCAAATAAGAATCGGGGATTAACATATTAAGAATGATAAGATTCGGGGTCCTAGTACCTTTTATGTTTTATAAATTCCAAAACATTTTTTTTATTTACTTATTTTGGTAGATAAATAGATATAATAGAAATCCAATTATATTTATTTTGAATTAAAGCAGTCCAATTACAGTAAAATATATAGACACTCTACTCAGGGGCGGACCCAGACCATTTAAACTGTGGGGTCAAAATTTTTTTTTTCCGAACAACGTATCATGAAAAAAAAGGAAAAATCGATTGTTTGCTGTTCATGTTCGATATGGACCATGTGATATGGATATAGATTTAGAATTTGGACTTTTTAGGGCAGAAAATTGAATTTTCAGCACAAAAAAAAAAAACAGAAAATTAAGTTTCAGCACCAAAAAATAAAAAAAATAAAAAAAAAATTCCAGAAAACTGTGGGGTCATTTGACCCCACATGACCCCATGTGGGTCCGCCCCTGACTCTACTCAACGTTGGTTTCCATCCACGGTGTAACTAGATTAAATTCGATATGAATCTAGTTAACATTTATCCGCGTACGGGATAAAATCGACAATGAAGTCAACCTTATTTCACATGACTAAAAGAAGATGCTTCTCAACTCCAAGAGCGCTGCTCTGCCTGTAATGCGTGAAGAATGCTTTCTACATTACCTTTAATGAGTATCGATTAATTTTGCAGTCATCGCAAAATAAGAACAAATTGAGGACACCAGGGTCAAAATTTTAGAGATAACCCAGGCAAGTTCAACAAAGGAAGATAGTAATAACACTCCCAGCGAGAGCAGCACTTAAGTAACATTTTTTACATATAAGTTACAGATGATTTCTGGCAAATTTGTATCTCACCTTTACTTGCATTACTACTCGAGGATCTCCAGTCATGTCTACTACCGTCGATGGATCAACCACTCTAATACCAGCAAGCATCATAAAGTCATCACAGTGCTTGTTTGGGTTTTCATTATAAGTTCCTTATAATTGAAAGGTTAAAGTCAAACATTAATTTTGACCAAAATACATCTCCTATTAACTTATCGACCGCTCATTTCTATCACACTAATATAATTTCGGCAACTTATAATGAAACACAAAACAGGCACTAAAATTATTCCAAAACATTCTATTTAAGAAGAAACTTCTACAAGTTGCGAGAAGCACCAACAAGAATATCTGTTGCAATTTGATGGAAGATGCCAAAAAAAAATAGGAAACTGATAAAGCACCATGCATCCAGATTCAGTTGAACTATTTCCAAATGCAACAAAGTGAACAAACAAAATTTGGTAAAATTTACAGATTGAGATGAGTGTTATAAAAAATAGTAATACCTCTCGTCCATATACATCAGCTATCACAACAGGATCTAAAATCCACTCGTTCTCCTTGGTCGACTTCACACTGAGGCACAATTTATGCATTGGGCAAGTGGAAGCATAATCATAAATGCAAAAAAAAAGAAAGTGATAATAAAAAACGAAGAACGCTGTCTGTCAACAAATAGCAAACAAGACACGAAATGCATGTATTTCTACACAAAAAGGCAAGAAGTATTACCAAACAAATACTTCATTCACTGATTTTGTGAAGGAGAGCATTGTATTTTCTTCTACATGAACTCACTCATTGTCCTATAATTCATTCTCATACACGTGCATATCTCGCTTATTTATTTCGACGTAATAGATTAGTGATCGAACATGTGTCTAGATATGTAATCGACATATCCAAAAACGTGTCAACAAATGCGTTCAGTGCCATGCCACACAGTTAGTTAGTTTGAGAACCTGGGAGAAATAATTAAACCTGCCTTTGAAGGGGCTATATTTTTTATTCTGCAAAGAACAGAGAAAAATTATCATCACAGTGAAACGAAAAGCAACACCTTAAAAACCAAGAACTTGAGTTGGGGAAAAAAAGGCTACATACACAAAAGATCGATAGCTGAGAAGCTTCTCAGTTCACAAGCTATTGTGTACCTATCATTAGAGTAAGAATGTCGAATCACATACCGATAAACTGTTATCCAACATGTTATTTTCTAGTTTCATAGCATGAACTCAGTTCCGTTTAGAAAATAAAAATAATATGGCTATACGATGATGCTGTGAAATCTGGCAGCATTCGTAAAGACAGCCCAAGATGAAAAGGTTGAGGTTCCAAGATTAAGAGGTCTGGAATTAAACTTCACCCTTATCATTTCCCCATAGTTGTATGGGTTTGTTGTTCCAAATTTTGTTGATATACACCATAAATCATAACGAGGATATAAAAAGAAATGCCAAATAAGCCTTGTTTCCAATAGGTTTGTGATCGCCTAACACGGATACTTCTCTCCCATAATCATGATAAAACAAATAAATTACCAGCATACGAGAAAAAATTTATAATACTTCGCAAATTTATAAAAGGATCGAAAAGCGAGATCATGTTTCACCAGCAACTTAAATTAAATGTCTCTTTATTAAGTCGGTATTTATTTTATTTTCTTGATCTAGGTCAAATTTCATAAAAAATTAACTTTACTCAAAAACTTGATGGAAGTAAGTGCTAATGAAATATGGCGTGTGGATGATGGAATGAAACGTTCATTAACTACTCACGAGTATTTAAAGTTCAATAACTTATGAAACATTGTGAGTGAACAATTGATGAAGTACGTATAAAAATTTAATGATCACTTAAAAGCATTTTAAAGTTAGACGAAAATATAAATTCAATAACTAATAAAGCATTTAACTCGATGTTTACCAACTATGCATATGCATATTTTGAACACTGTACTCATTCATGATGAATTCTATCTATTTATTTTAAAAAAGAACAATGTTTGTTTAAATCAGAGAGAAAAGTTTGCGAATGAATATTGACTAGAACTTGTAACAATTGCCAAAATAGTATTTTTGAAAAATAAAAATTTGTTCAATAAAATAAATCATTCAATATTTAATCAGGTAATTCTTCATTCCAGGTAAAAGAAATTTGGCTTAGTCATCATTCGCGCTAATTCAGTTGCAAAGAAAACATTGAGGTCCCAAAAAATCCATCCAATAACAGAATGAACAAATGGGCAAATACTCATTTCTGATAATCAAATTAGCCAATCACAATAAATCCAAACTGAAGCTTCAATTATGACTAATAAGAAAGACAATGAACAAATACGAAGGGGTGCAAACATTTTCTTATTTCTCATACATTGATAAAAGCTCAGGTCAAAAATTTACTAGTAACAAAGGCAAACTGGTATTTTCTCCATAACTTCATCTGTCTAAGAAAAACCTTCAGCATGTTGAATACCGAAAACGTAGCAGCTTATCTTGGAGGAGGAGGAGGAGGTGGAGGCACATGAGATTTTGCAAATCCGACCCATGCAACAATGCCGACTGCAAGTATTATCCACCCAAAAATGTCATATTTTAGGTCACTACTCTTCTTCTTCTTTGAACCCTGCTGCTGTAGAAATCGTAACATACAAAATATTAAGCGATCAGAAAACAACAAATCCAGCAGGTAACAAGCTATATTAGGCAAATATCCTCCTTAGATTCACCACAACCCCCGGGTATTAAAAGTTTATTTCGGAATTGGGAGTGTTAATTAAGCCAGTGCTGATGCAGTTACATTCTGCTACACAGTTTTGTTGACAGCATCTGACACGGAGAATATTTTTTCCATTGATTTTAACAACACTTGAAACAATCAATGGCATAGATTTTTACACCTCATTCAATGTCAAAAAAGCTGTACATTTTTTATGTACAAATAACATAATTCTAATTAAGCTACGATAAGCCCCCGTTTGTCTACCATTAAAACACAACTATTTTTTTCTCAAACTCTTTTTCAACCAAACATTTATACAATAAAATATTCTGCACATAAATCCAAAAAAATTTCCTACTTTTTAACGACACATTATCCAAGAAATCATTATTCCAAAACTCATTCCCCCCCCCCCCCCCCCCCCAAAAAAAAGGAAGAAAGAAATTCATTAAAATGGTTGTCAAACAGGGGCTGAATTAATAATGCAGTGGTTGTTGAAGTTCAAGATATAATACATTACAGAGCAGTTCAAAATGTCGAAAAAAATGCATCAGTCGTCCACATAGAAGTGGCATAAGGCTTTTCACGGTTGTTTGTGAGGAACAATCAACAAATCATAAGCTATTATGGAAAAGATACCTCACGATAAAAATCCCAAAAACGTGCTTAAAAGTAACGTTAATCATTTATGTCTAAATGTATTACCTGGTTTTAGAGCACCAATAACATGAATTATGAAACCACAAATGTTTGAATATCAAGGTTAATAAGCAACTTCATAAAATTCACTAATTCAAACTTCACTCCAAAACCTTGTAAATGAAGAAAGCAAAACTGCAAAGTCAACAATACTCTCAAATTTTAAATTTCAAATTGACCAATTACTTACCAGCATGCTCACATTAAATTCCTCATGCTATTAACCTCGAAAGGAATTAAAGAACAAATTACCTTTGTAGTTGTAGATGCTGAAGGACCTGATCCCATAGCCTGCTGAGCGAAACCATGCTTATGGATCTCCAGATGCAACTCAGGAGCCTTTTTATAATAAGTTATAACACATGTTAATAATCCCAGTTGAAGAAAAGAGGAGTTTAATAAAAAAGAGATGGTACTAGAACATTAAAAATTCCAAATGATGAAAGAAGCATTCTCAAGCTAGGCAAATCAAATTAAATGTAATAAACATATTTTGTCAAAGAAGTGGTCCTCAAAGGTTAAATTTACAACCACGAGTCTGAGGGCAAACAAATGTATTGGAGAATTCTATCAAACAGCACAACACTAGTTGAAATTCATCTCGGACAATTACCTAGAGTCGTGAAGAAGGTAAGAACATTAAGTCTAAATGCATTTTGCCAGATATACTATTTCAAACTAGATATTCTACATAATACCAGAAACATGTTATGTATCCTTTATTCATACATTAAACTCAATTCTTACCTGATCACAGAAGAATTAAGCATACTGAGATAGGAAAATCCTAAGTAACAATTCAACATCATGAGACCTTGTACGGAGATTTAATGAAAATATCAAGCAGACAAGAAGAGACAAGGCAGTTTGTCAAGGAAAATCAAGAGATTATGTAAGTTAGCCCCTGTTTGGGCTCCATTCTTCCAAATTATAATGAAAGGAATAATAATTTTTTGAAAAACGTGTGGTTAGAAAGGAAGAATTTTTTTTTAAGTTTATGTGTAATATTATTTTATTGGATAATGTGTGGTTGATAACAAGAGAGTGAAAAATGATTTTTAATTTAATGGGGACCCAACAGGGGCTTAATCTTCTGCAGTAATCCAGTGAGAGATTCATCTAAATTCAGTAACCTTGTCTTTCACCTAATAATGTGCATTGAACCAATCGACATCTGACTATCATAGACAAGACTGCCTAAGCAAAAAACCATATGTTGCAGGAAGCAAATACAGAAAAGACCGGCTAAGCAAAAGTGAATTGTAGAACAAAGATTTGCTGCTACGATAGCCAACACCCAATCTTCAGGTCTAAACACCCAATCTTTACCATTCTCCACACCTCTAAAACATTCAAGAAATGTCTGACCCAATTTAACCAATCGCTGGAACAGAACCCAAGAATTCTAAAGAAAAAAACGAGTCCTCATTGTGCCTTGAACTTCAAATCACTAATTTTGCATTTACATGAAATATGATATATCAATTTTAACTAGGCAATGAAAATTGATTCAAACGGTTTAAATTAAAAACAGCTTGATATACCTTGGCAGCCACTTCTAAGGATTTTTTGTAAAGTTCATTTTGTGGGTCCTGCAAACAAAAGAGCAAAACTTAACCAATATGAAAAAGTAAAATTGCAAATTGAAATAGCAAGTAGAAGTTTATTTAAATTTACCCCTTCAGCAGCTTGCTCAAAGTACTGGGCTGCCTTGTCAAAATCAACCTTGGCCACATCTTGATCGGGAGTCAAAAATGCATGGGATGTATGGGCATTTCCCAAGCACCAAAGAGCATCATGTTTACTTGGACTAACCTCCAGCGCCTCCTCCAATTTTGATATAGCATCTATGGAAATTTTAAAGCAACAATTTTGGTTAGTGACATGAATGTTTTACCTCTCCTTTTCCCCTAATAACTGGTAACAAAACTAACCTACCGAACCCAATTCCTGCACAAGATTATATCATTTTCCTTATTTTGCCCAAACCTGGTAGATTACTTAATAACTAAACTCTTTATCATTACATTTTCTCTATCCAGCAAAGACAAGCATAGCATATTTTGAGCATGTCTAATATTAGAAAAATGTTTATTTTTCAGAAGAAAGTCCATTTCTGCTTAAAAGTAAGAAAAAAAGTGTCACTAAAACGTTTTAGAGCTAAAAAGTTACTTAAAACAGACTTAAATGTTTTGAGGCTTAGCCAAACGTGCTCTTTAGGGGAGGTTAAAATATAAGGCTAAAATAAATGAAGCTAAGGCACTGAACCTAGAATCATCTTCTTAGAATCCGGAACGTTCTGGAACTGAGACAACTCCAGCAACGCCCCTCCCCACCTCGTCAAGTTCTGAAACAATCAATGATAAATAAGTATTTTCACCAGAAAACATAGAACAAAAAAGACCAAAAATTCCATACATACCCGCAAGATACATACACAAACAATTAACTAAAACAAAACACATATATACATGTATCAGTACAGAATAAAATGTGAAGAAGCTGTACGAACATCGGCGTCGAGGGGGTTTTTCGCATAGGTGGCTTCAGCGGTTTTGCGAGCATGCTCGAAGAAAAGGATCCGATCAAATTCATTTTCCATATCCATGTCGACTGATACCGATCCTGTGCAGGATTATTTCCTTATCCTGTGATTTATTCACAAAAATATCTGAAGCCCCTCTACCTCTATCGTTAGGGTTTAGAATACTTGTTTAGAATTGAACCGTGCGTGAAAGATTTTTGTTTTATGAAAATTTCACTGTTGGTCATTAATCTAATGTGTCTATAGCGATTTAGTCTTCCGTCTTTAAAGATGAACAATTAATTTTTAAACTTCTGTTATAGAGAATGTTTGGTACAAAATAAAATATGATTTTAATCTAAATCAAAATCAAACAATCAATATTAAACACGTTTTTCATGAGTTCCACAACTTTTTAATCACACATTTCAAAAACTTCTATCACAATTTACTAAAAAACATAATTTTAATCCCCACCAAACATCCTCATAGTTGCATAGTCAATCCCAACAACAAAAAAGTCTAAAAACGTGAACATTGTACAAATGTATCTGACTTAAATTTTTTACGAATTTTTCTACTCATGTGCCCCTGTTTGAGAAGCAAAACCATTTTTTACTCACTAAATCGAGACATTCGAACTTAACAAATTCAACATACATATCAACAATGAAATTTGAAACTAACACGTAACTCCAATCCATAACTAACTAAAGCAAGTTAAAGAGTTGTTTATAGCCTATTCAAATTATAAATAGATAAAAATAAGCATTTGATATTATTTAAGAATTTTACGAAATGTGGGAATAAAAAATGATTTAGTTGATAATAAACTATTTATAAAACATTGGTTATAATACTATATTATAAAGTAGTTTAAGGTTTAAAGGCTTTATGCCATGTGTAGAATTCCCTTGTGGCATAGGGTAAGCTGGCAAGCATATTTTGGATGAGTTTTACTATGTGTAGAGCATTTTTGTACATCAATTTTGACAGTCCTCTTCTATGAAGTGGAACTCATAATTATTTTAATTGTGGGCCCTCATCCCATGTGAGACTATTGTCAACAATGGTGTACAAAAAAACTGTACATATAGCAAAATTCATTTTGGATTCGTATGTATAAACAATTTTTTTCTTATTATCAAAATGTTGTTACAATTTTTTTTCCTTTCTTCTTCTTAACAATAAATTAAATCTGTTAAACTACTTCTTTTTGAAAAGTTAATCGTTAGAAAGAGTACTCGTTTATTTATTTTAATTTTTATCTCTAACAAAGTTAAAGTGTAATGTTTTAATGTAATAGTGTAATGTTTTTATCTTCAGTTTGAGCCCCATTTTATTAAAATAAACTTTATTAAAAAAAATAATTCGAATGTACGATTAAAAAATCGAAATAAATTTTGAGTTTACATGCAAAATTATATTCTTTAAAATGTGATTGAAAATGAATTTTATAAAACAAGACTCAAAACAAGGACCTAAACTAACTTACATTTTAAATATGGAACTCAATCTTAATAATATATAAATTCCAAATGAAATTTAGGATTTGTCTGAGCCTCTTTTTCGTGAGTATAGATTTTATAATAATGATTATTTGGAGAATGTGTGATTAAATAGAGAATTTTATTTGGTCTATCAATAAAATTATTTTATTGCAAGAGTGTATGATTAAAAATAAATTTGAAAAAAAAATGGTTTATTTATTATTATTATTATTTATTTTTATTTTTTTTTGAAAGTAAACCTCAAACAGGGGCTTGAGTTTTCATCCTCACTGTCCATCTTTCCACACGTCTAAATCGCAACATTAACGTCCCATTGCATTGATATTAAATGATATGAATTCAAAACTTGATATTTGAACTTACATGATTACTAGTGTGATGAGATTTGGACGTGTGATCAGGAGCGGACCCGAATTTATAGTTCAGTAGGGACAAGAAAGAAAATAAGCTAAAATAAATTGTGATAGAAACCAAAAGAAAATTTGAAAATTTAAATTTAAAAAAGCCATATCAAAGGTTTTTGAAAACTGAGTGAGGGCGGCTGACTCCGCTCGGCCCTTACCAATGTCTTACAACTTCTTAAATCAGTCATGCAAGGGCCATTTATCAATTTACAAGAGACTTTGTAATTTGCCTCGAAAAAATTTTAAAAATCACTAATCTATTATCAAATTTAAATTTTAGCTACATGTTTCAATAGCATCACAAGTACTATCTATTTATTCACAAACTCATTTATAAATTCTTCCCAAATGGATGCTAAATTTAAAACTTTTTTGCTCTTTTAAAAATGTTTTAGAAAAGTTTGATACAAAGGCAATAAGCTGAGGTCCGATATTGAAGTTTCCCTTTCCTTTTTCTTCAATCACAAGTAGGGCTGGATATGATTTGATTCAAAATCAAATCGGACCCAAATTTTCGGATATTTAGTAAATAGAGCCGTCGGATCCAAATTTATTTTTGAAATCGTTTGGGTTCGATTTCATTCAGTTCAGCTACTGAGTTCCATATAATAATTTTTTTTTAATGTTTATAACAACACTAGATTCATTCAACTAATGATGTGTTTAATCTTAACTTTTACAAAATTTCATAGTTCGATCTTATATATCTTTTGCACCTTTCTTTGCTAAGTTTTTCATAGATTTTTATTGTTAAAATCACGAGAAGATGAAGGTGGCAAGTTCACAAGAATGAAGAGAGACGTGGCGAAGCTTCCAATTTGATTTCTCTAGAACTGTAAAAATGACACTACGATAGAATAATATATTTTGATAAATTTAGATCAATTTAATTAATTTTGGCTTTGGCAAAAAATTAGAAATAGAAAAATCATATTTTGAGTTTGTGCTGAATTTTTTAGTTAGCAAATTTATTTAGAAAAAAAAAATAATTTGACTTATTTAAAATAAATAAATTAAAATCAAATCCGCCGATTCACGATTTAGACACTCACTCGAGTATTTAACTCAAGAGAACTGCTCGATTTGGTTCAAGAATTTTGTTTAGCCCCAATCGGATTTTGACTTTCCATTTGAATTGTGCGCTAACACGTGCACGGTGAAGAAATAAGGAAGGGAAGCATGGGCTTCTCTGCTCGAAAGTGTTGAAAACACGCCCTGGAGAGTAGTTGTTGGTTCCAGTTAAGGGTACATGGTGACACGCTTGTTCTCTCCAACGATGAAACGTGTAGGCTCTGAGACTAGGCCTTCTAGCCATTCATGTAGAATCTTGCTGGGCGAGCCCAATTGTCACTAAGCCCTATTCGATAGGAATTTAAGTCAAAGTCAATAATTTATTTTAAAATTTTCACCACATATTTCATGAGATTTTCAACTCTTTAACTATATATTTTATCATCTTTTATCGGAATTTATTAAAAAAAATAATTTTAATCCCTACCAAACATCAACTAAATATTGAGAAATCTTATTGAATATTACACCTCTCTTCTAATTGGTAGGCGAGTCAAGTCATCTAGTTCATCAAAATGGCTTGTAGATGAAGTGGTTATCATATTTGTCTATGTTAGGCTTTCTTTTTTAAAATTTATTTTTTCTCAAACACATTTTCAACAATGCATTTAATGGAATCCACAACTTTTATCAAATTTTCACTCAAATATTTCTTTCCGAATCCGTTAAAAATCTAATTTTTAGCTTAAAAAAAAAAAGTTTGTAAAAATTGAACAGTATCAAAGTGGTGCCCATAGAGGGGTCATGACCGAGTAAATGCTCACATTGAACTTTATATTTTTAACATAATTGTGTAGGAATATTAGTAATATTATTCTCCATTAATGGTGATTATTCCCAATCTAAATGACAGATCTTTTTCATTGTGCAATTGAGTTATTGTACATTTTGATTTAAAAAAAAAAAAAAAGGTGTTGAACCCCAACCGTAGGGTCCTCACCGTCCCGCCCCTGGAGTATTGTGAGAGAGGTTAATCGTGGAATGTGCCTCAACAAGCCAGTGAACAAGAGCTGCATGTACACTGGTGTCCACAAAAGAGTCTCAATCCATGTTTCAGGAATCGAACCCTCACACTGCGACTACCAACAAGATTGAGTATACCTCACTCATATCCTTTGCACTACTGAGATATGCCCCGAGGGTCGATAAAGAAGAATCTTTCTAAATCACTTCGGGTCAGCGAGGCCTTCAAGCATCCTCTCTATATAGGGCGAATCTGTCCTTTGGTATGTAAGAGTTTATTGGATTGGAACTGTAGGGGAATGCGAAGGCCTCTCCTTCGAAAGGAGACCGGGGAAAGAAAGAGCTATGCTATTGACCGAAGTAAGCTGGCTAGCGGGATAGAGGGGAAGTAAGGTTAAACGATCGAAGACATCAACTGAGGAAAAATGATTCCCTTCGACGGAAAACTTCCTGGTTGTATAATTTCATTCTTTAAGAATTACAGGGAAGCATCAGCAGCCTCTGAAGATCAAAACCACCACTGGTGCACGTTCATATCGCTTTTCGTTCATTTCCGCCACGAAAACATAGCCGCCATAATAAAATAAGAAGCAGGCGAAGCAGCTAGAAGCACTCGCTTCACGCGGGCTATTGTACATTTTGATTCATTGGACACGTGATGGAGCAAGAATTTTCTCAAGGGAAAAAAATGTTGAGGGACAAAATATAAATATATTATGCATATCCTATATATATATTTAAAAAAAATTAAAAATTAAAAACGTTTCTATAGCCAACCCCCCACAACCTTAGATCCGTCTCTGCATTGGATTATGAATCAATGGGTCCTTTTTGACATTGTTGTTTTTCAATCTGTAAATGCAACCATATATTGGTCCACAAGTGTAAGTTTCTGTTTGGCTCATATATATAATTTTTTTATAAACGCTCAAGTCACTTTTTATCTACACATTTTGAAAGATTAGGTAGAAGGGGCGCTAATCAAATCATTTCTTTCACAAATAATATTCACTCATCCATCGCTCATTTCTGTTCGTTTATTTATAACTTAAATTATTATAAACACTTCCTAGCATACTTTAAATTTGAGCCCCGAGGTTTACAAGCAATGTAGGCATTCTCCAATTATAACTCAATTTTAAGGGGCTTGTTCTACTAAATGTGGTTGTGACATTAGTATTAGAATCGACATCTTTCCTTCAGAACTCTTATTGTGGATACGAAAATGGGTTGATTGCTACTTTA